TGCACACCCAGATGTAATAGTGTGTCACAATGGAGAGTTCTAATCAACTCGTATCGCAGGGACGCTGGCACAACCAGACGCCAGCGCTCCTGGAGACCTTCCCTCCACATGAGCAGACCATCTCGGAGCGCGGTTTCCGGTACCCCATCCGTACCCGGACTCTCATTCTCCACTTTAGATCGCTTCCGCAAGGACAATAACGACTCATCCATCATCTGCTCCCGAATCCAAACAGACCGCGGCAGATTCAAAACCCCGTCAGTCGGCCCCGGTTCCATAGGAGCATCCGACTTCTCGACAGCTAACGCCAGCGGCTGAGGGGGGGGATAGACTGGGCGTACATCTATGCGTCCCCGACGCACATTTGCAAGGGGAGCGCTGCGGCAATCTGGAAAGTGCGTCTGCATTCGCATGGCGCACCCCCTTCCGATGGTGAATTTGGAAGGAAAATTCCTGCAGCGTGTCCAACCAACGCGCCAACTGGCCGGATGGCTGATCCATTTTAAGCGCATATTGCAAGGCCGCATGATCCGTACGCACGACAAAGGAACGACCGTAAAGGTACGGTCGAAACTGACGTAGGAAAAAAACAACGGCTAGGAGTTCCCTGCGAGTGACACAGTAGCGGGTTTCCGCGGGAGACAAGACCCGGCTACCATACGCCACGAAGCGCTCTACGCCCCCTTTAGACTGGGATAATACCGCGCCAATACCTGTGTCACTCGCGTCCGTATCAAGAATGAATGGGCGATCGAAATCGGGATAATCCAATGTTGGGGCCGTAGCCAACAGATCGCGCAGACTCTGAAAGGCCGCCTCTTCCGGCGGTCCCCACGCAAACTTACGTCCCTTACCCGTAAGGAGGTGCAAGGGCCTCGCGATCGTCGCAAAATTCGGCACAAATCCTCGATAATACGAGGCAAATTCCAAAAACCGACGTACATCCCCCACGGTGGCCGGAGTTGGCCAATCCCGGACGCACGCCGTTTTTTCCGGGTCCGTGGACACCTCCTCAGCACTCAGGATGTGCCCCAAATAACGGACGGAGCGTTGCAGTAGGTGACATTTCTTTGGTTTGAATTTAAAATTCGCGGAGCGCATCCTCGTGAACACCGTCTCCAGCCGCCTTAAATGTTCATCAAATGTGCGGCTGAAGACAATAATATCGTCCAAATATATGAGACATGTCTCCCACTGCAACCCCGTCAACACGAGCTCCATCAGCCTTTGAAATGTGGCAGGGGCCGCATTCAGCCCCATCGGAAGGCAGTTGAATTGAAACAACCCCTGCGGCGAACGGAATGCGGTTTTCTCCCGTGAGGGCTCGTCAAGGGGAAGCTGCCAAAATCCCGAAGAGAGGTCCAGTGTAGAAAAGAACTTCGCCCCCGATAATGCATCGAGGGAGTCGTCCATACGCGGCAGGGGATACGCATCTGCCACCGATATCTTATTCAATTTGCGAAAATCAACACAAAATCGCAATGTGCCATCCTTTTTCTTAACCAAAACCACAGGCGCGCCCCATGGGCTGTTAGATGGCGATATAATGTCCGCAGCCAACATGTCTTCCACTGCCCCCCGAACGTGTTCCCGCTCGGCGGGACTCATTCGGTGCGAATTCAACCGAATAGGGGCAGCGTCGCCTGTATCAATATGATGGGAAAGCAACGAGGTGCGTCCCAAATCCAAATCATTGGAGCTGAACACATCCGAATACGTCAATAACAATTTGTGAAGCGCACCACGTTGATCCACGGACAGGGAAGAATTTCCGTCACATAAGTTAGCAATCCAGCGATCATCTGAAGCCACAGGCTCAGAAACACCAGCAACCACCCCCTGGCTATGCGAACAATCCTGAGCCGTAAATGCCGTCGTGGCATGTGCCACAACCGTACCAGCCGGGACGCAGACGTTTTCCGCACCCGCATTGAGCACCTGTAAGAACGGTAATTGATCCGGCCGGACGATGGTCTGTGCCCCAACCAGCGCCAATCCGGCCGTAATCGAGGCTGACGGAGACAACAAAACCCCAACCGCTCCTAGCCGATCAGGCAGGGGCTTCCGATACCGCAAGGGAATAAGCATCTGTGAGCCAGGTGGGATGTCAACAGATGCCACGGACAGCGCCTGCACTTGTGTGGCTGAAGCAGGTCGCCCCCAGGGCGACGGCAGAAACGAGATTTGACGGCCACCCGGCAATTCAATACAATTCGCATTAATTTTGATCAAAATAGGCATCTTAGCCAGGAAATCAGTGCCCAATAAACAAGGAACTGCCAAGGATCTTGAAATCAACACAATGCCCGAGGCCGACACCTCCCCAATAGATATTTTAGCGTCCACCTGGCCCACGATGCCCATGCTACCCCCGTTCGCAGCGACGCACGACCCGTAAACCGGACGCACGGCCCCGGGTGGGATGCCCAACAGATGGAAAATGACATCCGAAATAATAGTCGCGGACGCCCCGGAATCGACCAAAATGCGCACGTCCACCCCTTGTATAGATCCTGGTACAGTGGACGAACCCGTAGCGGCCGCGACAACCCTCCGTGCCAACTTGCGCCACTGCGTCACCGAGCGACAAGGCCCCGTCGATGGCCTCTCCTCAACAACAACATTTGAATCGCGCAACGAAGGTGATGGGTGAGGTGCAAAGCCTTGCCGGGTGTCTGGTGCGTGCCGACTTGCCTGTTTCGGAGGTTCCTTGGTCGGCTTGTCCGTTAATGAGGCCTCCTGTTGCGGCGGACCCGGGATGCGGGCCCAGCAGTCCTTTGCGTAGTGGCCCTTCCGCCCGCAGCGGAAGCATTCGGCGTCGTTGCGCCGAAGCGCAGGCCTTGCATCCCGCCGGCCCCGTACCGGTGGTGCAGCGCGCGGGCCCGGCCCGCCGCGTCCCGACCATGGACCGGAGGCGGCCGTCAGCTCCTGAGGGCCCCCCCCATCCGGCACGTAGACCGCCTTCGTAGGGTCCCAACCCAGAGCGCCACCCTCTGCGACGGGCCCCCCCGTCCACGCCGCGACTTGTTTCCACCGTCGGAGGTTGAATTGTGCATCGAGACATTTTGCCGCCGCCCGGGAAGTGAGCTTCTCATGCCCACACACAGGCATGGGAATCCCAAGATCCCGAGACAGCTCGAGCATCTTGCCCAAGATGAGAGGCTCGAGCAGGTCAGGTGTTGTCTCTGGATATGCGGCCATGGCCAAATCAAGCACCGCACCCCTGTATGCAATGGGCGATTCCTCGGGCGCTCGTTGTCGTTGAGCAAATCGCCGATGCGCATCGTCAGGTGGCTCGTAGGCGTCGGCCATTTCTTCAAAAACTCCATATAATGTCTTCTTCTTTTCGGCCTTTATGGAACGAAAAAATCTAACTGATTCGTCGTCCAGAAGAGTCGGCAACACTTCTAAGGCCTCAGCATCGGTCCACCTCGCCGAACGGACCGCCGCCAAGAATCTGCAGGCGAAAGCGCTCCAATCGCCGCCGATGGCGAATTCCTTGACTGTGGTAAGATGGCGACTCCGACTTCTCTTTACTCCGCCCTCCACCGATGGCTCCTCCGGTGGTAAATTCAAAATGGCGTCGAACCGCGGCGTGGCCAAGATGGCGGTTTCCCGCCGCGGAACGCGCAAGATGGCGGCCTCCTGCCGCGTTGCCGATGGCGTCGGAAGCGAAGATAATGTGGCGGCCTGTGGAGCACTCTCAGCTCTCACCGTCGCCGTCCTTGGCGTGACGAGATGACTCAACTGCGCCAGGACGTCCTTGAGAGTCTCCAGTTGCTCCGCCATCTGCTGCCATCGCGGATCAGCGTCCGATGTTGTTGGCGGGCCCGACACCGCGGCGACATCTTCAACTCCAGTCCCCGCGCTCGTTTCAGCAGGGCTCTCCTCCACCACCCCAGGGTTGGAGGGAAGTCGTCGTCGTCGGACGAAGAAGCCGATGCTGGCGCCGGAATAATTTTCTTTCTTACTTGCTTCGACATGCCGTTGCACTTCCGACACCAATGTAATAAAAGACTCGACCATGATGTCTGGCTTGGTGTCCTTTATTGGGTTCGTTTGCTGTCTCCCACACGGCTGTCCTCCTTTGAGACTTTCCACACGGTGCCGACGCTGTTGTTACACCCGTCACCGCTAACAGCTCCGCTGTTGGTCTCCGTCGTTCCCGTAGCCTCTTAGCAGCTTCGCTGCTGTTACCCTCACGCAGCCCCCCTGGCTGTACTCGCTGCAGCTTCCCCTCGTGTCGCTCCCGTAGCCTCGGACAGCCTCGCGGCTGTTCCCCTGTCGCTCCCGTAGCTCCTAGCAGCCGTGCTGCTGTCTCCCATACACAGCCTCCCCGGCTGTACTCGCTGCAGCTCCTCAACCGCTCTCTCTCTCCAGCAGCCCCACTGCTGTCTCCTCCCGCAGCTCCGCTGGCTGCTCCCTTAGTTGGTCACTGCTGGCCGACGGTGCCACTCTCCCCTGGCTTCGCCCTGCGTGGCCTTACCCTTGCTCAGTCTCCCACTCTCTCCCGTCTCCTTCCGGTTTCATCCCTTAAGGACCCGAACCTTGCTCCCACGTCACATAACTCCACCTCTCCGTGACGTCATATCCGGGAGGTCGCTCGCGCCCGCATTACACATGTAAGGCCCCACTGAGCTGTGTAGCTCCTTTTCAGAAGCGACCTGGCCATCACAAATGAAAGCTCAATGGAAGTGGCTTATCACGTGGACATTTTAGCAGCCAAATACTCTAAATGCATGTTGATTCTAAATATTGAGGGAAAAACTGTAAGACCTGGAGGAAATCCACGCGATGACGGGGAGATAGAACACGCAAAATCTAAATATACAGCAGGCATCAGGGTCAGGTTCGAAACCACGACCTTCTGTATACCATTCGAGTTAGTTAACATCTCGCTACTGTGGCGAGTCTGTGTGGCTCTCCTGGGTAAACGAGCAGAACAACAATAATATAAAAAAAAGCAATAAGGATGAGTGAATGCGACGGATGTTTTGCAGGCCTGTCGGTCAGCCACCTCTGTCGGCACGGGGGTCGCTGCATTGACGCGGGCAACACACACCACTGCCAGTGCTCGCGTGGCTTCGAGGGCAGCTACTGCGAGAAGGAGGTGGACGAGTGCACCTCCAACCCCTGCCACAACGGGGCCACCTGCCGGAACTTCCTCGGGAGCTACAAGTGCGAGGTTTGTAGTTGGGCCCCGACCGCAGGAGAAGCGCACGCATTTTGCAGAGTGATTCTACAGAGTGTGATTAATGCCGATTGGTAGAATTTCCCAAACGTCCCAATATAGGGCCAATAGAGCTTGCGCCTGAAAATAAAAAAAAACGCACTGTACCTTAAAAATTGTACGGCGCTTTGATCGGCAATTTGCACGAATGCCGCAGATGCGCGCAAATGATGGTGCTGCCCTTGTTGTTGTTACCTCCGTGCACATCGCTCACCTTGGCGCTTGCCATCTCCTCTCTCCCTACAGTGCCCCGTGGGCTACCATGGCTTGAACTGCGACTATGAAATCAACGAGTGCCTCTCGCAGCCGTGCCAGAACGGCGGAAAGTGCATCGACCTGGTGAATCGCTTCAACTGCGTGTGCCCGCCCGGCACCCAGGGTGAGCGCCGCAGATGCGCGGCATGCACCGCGATCGTCATGCACCGCAATCACCACGCACTGCCATCGCCACGATCACCATTCACCGTGATGTCTCTGTGGAGGGGGAAACCACAACGCGCCGTGGGGCTGCCGCTCGATGGATGGGTTTCGCGCATGCACATCGAGTATGCGTTGAGAGGAAACCACAAGCCGCAGGGTGGCGGCGGTCACGCCTCACAGCAAGAAGCGCATGCGCGTACGTGTGCTGCACGTGCGTAGGTGTGTGCGTGCTCCTGTATGCGAGTGTGCGTGCGAGCGTGTATGCACCTGCGTGCACCTGCATATGTGCGTGCGTGCGGCTGTGTAGGAATCCTGTGTGAGATCAACACTGACGACTGCAACCCGGGCCCCGACGCACCGATGCCCGGGCCCCGGTGCTTCAATGGGGGCTCATGCGTGGACGGCGTGGGCAGCTTCACGTGCTCGTGCCCGCCAGGCTTCGTGGGCGAGCGCTGTGAGGGCGACGTCAACGAGTGTTTGTCCAACCCCTGCGACCCCAGGGGCTCCCTCGACTGCATCCAGCTCGTCAACGACTACAAGTGCCAGTGCCGGCCCGGGTTCACAGGTTCATTCTCCGCAGCGCCGTGGCATCCTCGCCGCGTCATCACTGGGTTTACGAGTGCTTTGCGTGCACGATGTTGGGTTTAGAATTTTTCACGAATCTTCTCCGTGAGGTCACCCAACCCGTGCACTCCAAAGCGCCGCGCTAGAGGCGCATACTCGGGGGTCAACTTTCTCGGCGCGATCTCCACGCCGAGGCCGTAATTTATTGTTTTGGCCAAACAGCCGTTTTGAGTGGCTTCATTGTTTTTTTTCTCGCCTACGTTAATCGCAAATGCTTCCATCAGTAGGCCGACAGTGGTTGCCGTCGTTGTGTGACGCGGGTTTGTGTTGCATGGCGCCACGCAGGTCACAACTGCGAGGTGGTGATCAATACGTGCCGGCTGGAGCCGTGCCGCAACAGCGGCACGTGCATGATCACCGTCAACACGCCGCTGGGATTCACCTGCCTGTGCGCCCCGGTAAGTCCCGTCGCACGAGCCCCACGCGGCGCGCACCGTAGACAAGGCGGAGGGCCTGCAGGAACGTTCCTGCGGGCCGGAACACAGACCGGTTGCAGTTGTTGCCTTCGGGCAGGCGCCGATGGGTTCCGCATCGGGCGGAGCTCACGGCCCTCTCCATGTATGGGGCTTCCAGAGGCACAAGGTAGCGGCGAACATTCGTGGACAAAGATTGTGAAAACGAACGAGCAATTAAATGTGCGCAAGCGGTTGCGTTGTGCGTGACTGACCGTGCCGTGTCGCCCACAGGGCTACGCGGGCCATGCGTGCGAGGACAACGCGTACACGTGTGGCAACCTGAGCTGCCGCAATGGCGGCACGTGCCTGCTGGACCGTGCCGCGGGCCCGCTGTGCGTGTGCCCGCGTGCGTGGCGCGGCCCCGAGTGCCAGTACCATAGCGGCGGTGGCGGAGGAAGCAGCGCATGTGCCAGCTCACCGTGCGAGAATGGCGCTGCGTGCTACGAGGAGGTGCGCCCACCATTCTACCGCTGCGTATGCCCACCCCTCTTCACAGGTGAGCGCCTCGCTGGCGGTAGGTCGCTTTCGCGTCACACTTCTCATTGCTCCTACCACTTGTGTGGTTACCATTTCCGTGACTTTCTACTCATTGATTCCTCCACACCCGAGTTGAGGACTTACGTCAACCCGACGCTGACCCATTTCATCTCACCCAATCGCATGCTCGCTTACCCACGTGCGCCCAACTCTTGCTTACCCTCGCACTCAACTCTCGCCCTCGTAGCTCCGGCCAATAGCCAGAGAACCCGGACACCAATCCCGTGTGACACCAATCCCGCGCAACCGCGTCACGGGGACGCAGTTGCTCGTCCCCGCGATTGCTCGTCCCCGCGATTGCTCGTCCCTGCGATGCACCGCATCAAGGATGGCGAGTGAGGGTTTGTGTGAACGTCCGCTTGCTGTGTGAAGGGCCGCGATGCCGGGTGCTGGGCCCAAAGGTGCCCGGCGACGCCAGCTCGGGCCGCGCTCTGCCTGTGCCGCCCCCCGTGCTGGAAGAGAGCTGCCCTGTCGCCGAGTGCGAGAGCCACGCGGGCGACGGACTATGCGACCGGGACTGCAACAACCACGCGTGTGCGTGGGACGGGGGCGACTGTTCCCTGCACTTCCCCTCGCCCTGGCGCAACTGCTCCATTCGGCTGCAGTGCTGGCTCCGCTTCCGCAACGGCGAGTGCGACGAGCAGTGCAACTCCCTGGGCTGCCTTTTTGACGGGTTCGACTGCCAGCTCGGCATGAAGAACTGCAAGTGAGTTGGCGGGGGAGGGGGGGGTGTGGCGGCGTCGCCACCGTCGCGTGGATTCTCCATCGGGCTGTCCTGAAGCACGCGTCACGTGTAAACTCCTAGAGTAATTAGGCAGCAGGATCCCCTGTATGGTATGTGTAACGTGACTGGGCGCGCTCGTCGCCCGTTATCGGGTTGGGCAAGCTCCTACGTTTTGAGTCTGCGTGCACCGCGCGTGATTGTGGAACCGGCGGGGCTGATGCGATCACACCACCGTCGAGTGATGTCCCCTTGCCTCTCGCCCCCACGAACACCGCGCGCTGCCGATCGAACCTAACGCGATTGCGGTTCTGGTCGTTCCGGCGATCGTGCTCCAAGTGCCGCAAGTAAATCTCGCCCCTCCCTTGTGCTCCGCAGCCCGCTGTATAACGCCTACTGCACGGCACACTATGCCGACCAGCACTGCGACCAGGGCTGCAATAGCGACGAGTGCGGCTGGGATGGGGGCGACTGCGCGGGCGAGGTGCCCGAGCGGCTGGCGGACGGCGTGCTGGTGCTCATCGTGCTGCTGCCGCCTGCGCGCGTGCACAACGACTCCGCCAACTTCCTGCGCCAGCTGGGCAGCCTGCTGCATGCCACCGCGCGCTTCAAGAAAGACACCAATGGCCAGGACATGATCTTCCCCTACTACGGGGACGAGGCGAGGGGGGGTGTCGGGCCGCGCCTGGAGCGCGCGTCCCGCTCGCTTCCGCGATTCGTCCGGGAGATGGAGCGGCCACTGATCGGGTGAGATGCTCGCTAGCGCACCGTCAAGCGAACGTGACTCGTGCGATCCACCCTGCGTTCGACCACGCTACGTTGGTTCGCTGGCCGCTTGGCAAGCCATGTCTTTGAGGCCGTTCACTTGAAACAAAATGGAGCCCCTCGTCGTCGAGCCACGTGTCAATTTGAACGCTGCATTTTTAAACAGGTGTGAAACGCCGTTTTGAAACTTTCCATGTGCACATGCACATGCGCACATGCACACACGCACATGCACACACGCACATGGTCGTGTAGTGGTTAGCGTGCTGCTGTGCTACGAACCCGGTGACCCGATTCCCGCTCACGGCCAACACCAGTGACGATTATCCGAACCGGTCCTGAACTCTCCCCTAGGTCGACTCAGCCTCAAACGAGTACCTGGTGCGGTGTGTAATCATTTCCGCTGGAGAGACAAAGGCGGCCGGGCGTAGTGCTGGCTACCCCACCCCCTCGTGTGCCACAGTGCCAGCCTTCATAGGTCCTACTCGCTAATAGCACTTGCCCCAACAGTCTGTTAAGGCTATAAGGGGGATCTTTGTCTTTCTGTGTGTGTGTGCGTGGGTGGCAGCTCCAAGGTTTATGTGGAGATCGACAACCGCCACTGCTACCAGACCTCGGACCGCTGCTTCTCGAGTGCCGCCGATGCGGCGGCGTTCCTCGCCGCGCAGGCGACACATGGCAGCCTCCCCCTGCCCCTCCTGGGTGTCTCCAGTACGACACCACCCTCACCACCCTCACCACCCTCACCACCCTCCCTCACCTCCCTTCACAGTGGGCAAAATGTAAATGTGGAAGAAGGCCTAGTATGAAGCCTACCTGCATCCTCTATGCCCTACGTTCACTGACACTCGCACAGACACTCGCTCGCACACCCTCACGCACCCTCACACTGTGTGTGTTTGTAGAGTGTAGCTGCGTTGAGTGTAGCGGTGTCCTCCTAACCAATCTCAGTATTCCACATTCATATTCTCTGGCCTTGCGTGTGTTAGGGCCATGTTGTAGGATATAGATTGAAAACTAATTTCTTTAGAAGCACTTTTTGTGTGTTAGTTGGTTGTCTTTCCCCCACTCCTCCGATTAGCACAGTTGGCTACATAAGGTGCGAAAGTTCAACATACGTACATACAGGATCACCTCTGCCACGATTGCTATGAATGCGGTGGCTAAACCGCTGTTTCTGAGGTGTGTACACGGTTTATCTCCTCACGTCTGTGACAGGATTTTCGACGCATTTTTTTATTTGTTTGTAAGGACTGTTTATTCTGCCTACAGTGAGTTCTGGTGTTGGTTTTTTGTAAATAATTTGTTGCTATTTTTACTCATGAGTTGGCACATTCCCACCTACACTGCCGTCCTTATAACAGAGCTGCTTTGCGCAGTGGGGCTTTACCAGCTGAAATATAAAGTCTTAGTTTGAGTGTTGTTGATCCGGTGTCTCGCTGTGCGTGCAGGCGAGGTGCCTGACGTGACGGCGCCGCGTGTCCAAGTCTACGTGCTGCTGGGCCTCGTGCTGCTCGTGCTCATGGTGGTTGTGCTGCTCGGCGTGCTGGTCGGGCGCAAGCGGCGGCGCGAGCAGGGCACCCTCTGGTTCCCCGAAGGCTTCATCCTGGGCCCCCCCTCTGACAAGAAGAAGCGCCGGGAGCCCGTGGGACAGGACGACGTGGGAATGAAGTACGCGGCACTGCGGCGTGGCGTCGGTGCCAGCGGGGGCGTGTGCCGGGAATCGTGCCGCGATGCAGGGAGGGAAACGCGCAGATCGGATCCTAGAAACGCCACACCCATCCGTGTATGACCCGGACAGCTCTCCGGAATCGGTATCTGTGTCGGACTTCATGAAAGTTTACCTAGCAGTGTTGATATACCTGGGCTGGCATGTGGAGGCTGAGGGAGCAAGCCCCTTAATGCTTTTCAGCTCAGGCTTCAAGTTATTTGTGCGCCAGTTCCGTCCGTTCATGTTTCTGAGCACATGGTTGTATTTGAGTTTTGTGTGATGCTCGGTGCTGGCCCTGTGAAGTTCTTGAGACGTTGAACAACACTCGTCTGAGAACTAACGCGCTGGCGTTCTGTGCTGTGTGTGGCACCTTCTGTCTTTCTCCGTCTCTCTGTCTCTTTCTGTGCATGGTGTTGTGCTACCAGGACCTTGTCTCAGAGCTCCGTGGAGGACAGTCTTATCGATGGAAACCAGAACGAGGCGTGGCTGGATGGCAGCGTGCCCAGCACCAAGCGTAGGAAGGTGTGTACACACAGACACGCAAAAGGTTCCCCGCATAGCCTTCACGGACTGTTAGGGCAAGTTCTAGATTTGAAGCTTTCGTGACTGCAAGAATTCATACTCTTAGGCTTTTTTGGTAAAGTCACGGAGGTAAAAAATAAAATTAATAGAAGTAATAATAGAAATAAAATAATAAATCACGACGTTTCGGAGGCAACACAAGCTTCCGTCTTCAGGTGGAACCGTCACAGCACAATTGCTGTACTTGATACAGCAATTGCTGTACTTGATACAGCAATTGTGCTGTGACGGTTCCACCTGAAGACGGAAGCTTGTGTTGCCTCCGAAACGTCGTGATTTATTATTTTATATCTATTATTACTTCTATTATTTTTATTTTTTACCTACGTGACTTTACCCAAAAAGCCTACGAGTATGTTAGGGCAAGTGCTGTTAGCGAGCACCTCAGAAGACCGGTACAGCACGTGAAAGGGTGGTGTGGCCAGCACGAACACCGGCTGCCTTTGTCTCCGCAAATGCCGATGTTTACACACCACACATGGTACTCGCTTAAAGCTCATGTGACCTAGGGGAGGCCCAAGACTAGTCCAGATAATCGCTATCACTGATGGTTTGCAATGAACGGGAATTGAACTCTGATAGTCTGGGTTCGTAGTGCAGTGCGCTAACCACTGCGCTGCGGCTCCCCGCATCCAAGCTGTATGATCACTCGGCTACATGCATGGCCTGCAGCAGAGCCAGCGATTGGCGAGCCAAACCTCCGACCGGGATTTGAACTCGCGACGTGTCGATTGGGAGCCGCGTGCTCCAGCGCTGAGCCATCTGGCTCCCAGCCAAGTTTAGTGTGAACCAGAACCGTGAATGGGTCTTCACTTCAACAAATGATTACGATCCAATGCTCTTACTCTGTTCGTTGACCCAGGGAAGCCTCGCTGAGTCTCAACTCTTTTTCAGGAGGGTCCTGCCAGGTTTTTTGCATTCTGGGGACGATGTCGCTTCTGTGCAATCTAAAACAAATAATTTACAGGTTTTTTGTTTTTTGGAGTGGTGATGTTAGGCCGATTCCAGTTACATGTAATCGATTTTAGCTATGGGAGGAAACGGGGGAACCTGGAGGGGGGAAACCCATACATACGGGGAGAGCATACAAAATTCACACAGAGGCACCCTGGTGAGGAATCAAACCGAGGCCCTTCCCTTCCCATTGTGAGGCGCGAGTGTCATGACTGCGCCGCCACCCCAAGTCCTGGGTGCACACGTGCAAAGGAGCAATCGTAGCAAGCCGCGCTTACAAAGGGAGAGGCGATAGGCTTGCGGCTTGAGTGACGAGGCGACGCGTGCGCTCAGCTGGAGGAGCAGGGGATGTTGCCTGAGGCCGAAGAGCCGGTGGACCACCGCCCGTGGACGCAGCAGCATCTGGAGGCAGCCGACATCCGCACGGCACCTGCACTCGCGCTGGCGCTCACCCCACCACAGGGCGAGGCTGACGATGGCATGGACGTGAACGTTCGGGGGCCCAGTGAGTCGCCGCTCCCCTCCCGCACGGTTGTGACCCGCACGCCGTGATGCACACGCAGTTACCCGCATGGTCATGACCCGCTCGCAGTTACCCGCACGGTTGTCTGTGGCTGAAATGTTCCCCGCCGCCTCCTATTCCCCGTGATCCCAGACGGCTTCACGCCGCTCATGGTGGCATCATTCCACGGCGGGGGCCTTGACTCGAGCCTCTGCGATGAGGAGGAGAGTAGCGACGGCCTTTTCGAGGACGGCGCCGATGACGGTTCGGCCAACGTCATCACCGACCTCATCTGCCAGGGCGCCGCGCTGCACGCACAGACGGACCGCACTGGTGAGACGGCGCTACACCTGGCAGCTCGCTACGCGCGCTCCGACGCCGCCAAGCGGCTGCTGGATGCCGGCGCCGATGCCAACCTTCCCGACAACATGGGCCGCTCGCCGCTTCACGCCGCCGTGTCGGCCGACGCGCAGGGCGTGTTCCAGGTGAGTGCCCTACCAGGGCTCTGCGTGCGGAAATTAGAGCGGAGGAGGATGAGGGCGTGGTCGCACCGTTGCGTACGAGTCGAGTGCTCGAATGGCAAAATGATCAGTGGCGCAGGGGGGGCGGGGAGGGGCATAGACGGCTACTGCCTGTGAGCGCCAAGCTGACGACGGAGCACGCGGCACGGTACTGCCCACCCTCCACGGCCCTCGGCAGGCAGGGCCACCTGAATAACCGGCAGGGCCGCCGGAGCAACCAGTGCCTCCTCACAGCCAGCGCTGCCACACAACAAGCCGTAACAGCTGTCGCCGTTCCGGAACGCGGTTGCTCGTCTCCGCAACGCGCTGTACGTTGAGAGTTGAGATGTGAGCCGGTGCACCCCATAGCGCGACGTGTCACTGCCCCCGTCGCTGTGCGTGAGCCGTGTGCGTGACCCATGCGCGTGCGTTCTTCTGTCAGATCCTCATCCGCAACCGTGCCACGGACGTGGACGCGCGCATGCACGACGGCACGACGCCGCTCATCCTGGCCGCGCGGCTCGCCGTCGAGGGCATGGCGGAGGAGCTCATCAACTGCCACGCTGACGTCAACAAAGTGGACGACCTCGGTACGACCATGCTGCCAGGCACACAGCGCCCACACAGTGCCCGCATGCTCGAGAGGAAAGCCGTGCTGCCACCCCACCCGTAGCGGCGCTGCTGCTTGCTGCTGCTGCTGCTTGCTGCTGCTTGCTGCTGCTTTCTGCTGCTGCTGCTTGCTGCTGCTTGCTGCTGCTGCTTGCTGCTGCTGCTTGCTGCTGCTGCTTGCTGCTGCTTGCTGCTGCCGCTTGCTGCTGCTGCCTGCTGCTGCTGCTGCTTGCTTGCTGCTGCCTGCTGCTGCTTGCTGCTGCCTGCTGCTGCTTGCTGCTGCCTGCTGCTGCCTGCTGCTGCTTGCTGCTGCCTGCTGCTGCTTGCTGCTGCCTGCTGCTGCTTGCTGCTGCCTGCTGCTGCTTGCTGCTGCTGCTTGCTGCTGCTGCTTGCTGCTGCTGCTTGCTGCTGCTGCTGCTGCTGCTTGCTGCTGCTGCTTGCTGCTGCTGCTTGCTGCTGCTGCTTGCTGCTGCTTGCTGCTGCTTGCTTGCTGCTGCTTGCTGCTGCTTGCTTGCTGCTGCTGCTTGCTGCTGCTTGCTGCTGCTTGCTTGCTGCTGCTGCTTGCTGCTTGCTGCTTGCTTGCTGCTGCTGCTTGCTGCTTGCTGCTGCTGCTTGCTGCTTGCTGCTGCTGCTTGCTGCTGCTTGCTGCTGCTTGCTGCTGCTGCTTGCTGCTACTTGCTGCTGCTGTTTGCTGCTGCTGCTGCTTGCTGCTGCTTGCTGCTGCTGCTTGCTGCTGCTGCTTGCTGCTTGCTGCTCTGATCGCGCGAGACGTTCGACCGTTCGGGTGCCCCGCATCGGCATTGCACAAACACGCGGTGGGGTCGTTGTCGGCCACGTGGTGGCCATCGATCGGTCCCCCATCGCAGATTGTATCACGAGCAGCCTCCCAGCGGGCACACCCCGTGCTCCAATTAGCAACCGCGATAGCGAACATTTGCAGAGCGACGGTTTTGGCTACATGCAAGATGGCGCACACATGCTCCGAATGTCACCCACGAATAACAAAACGCTGCCCTTCGTGGTGTGAAAAGAGGGAAAGCTCCTGAGGGCCAGATGTTAAAACTGTGGACGTCGTCAGAGAAGCGGAATCGGTTGTCGGTATATAACTCGATCGGGGAATGATAACACCATCAAGAATTCTTCCATTCAAAGCGCCAATGAGCAGGCGTCCCTGGCCGCTTGCGCGTAGAGATTATTCGCGAGTCGTCAGGAACAGAAAATGTGAAGGTTTCTCACGGCTGGCAAACAATTGAATTCCCAAATCTAACGCGACAGCGATTCCGCAACGAGGAAGCACCCACCGTGAAGAGAAGAGGCGAGAGCAAGGGTGGCATTTTTTTTTAGAGAACGCACCCGAGGAGGAGACGGAACGATGATATTGTATTTTTTGTGGGAGCTTGATGGAGGGAATGGCGACGGCTTGGGGACGACTCCATCAGGTGTGTCTAGATGGTGGCTGGCTGATGGCGTGCCAGTTCTTGAGTTCTCGTCGTCAATCGCTTTGTAGTATCCGCTCCGTTTCGGCAGTGGGCGCGTGTCCGTGTCGTCAACTCAAGACACGATTGTCGCCTCGCAGGGAAATCAGCGCTGCACTGGGCGGCAGCTGTGAACAACGTAGAGGCCACCCTCGTGCTGCTCAAGAACGGAGCCAACAAGGACATGCAGGACAACAAGGTGAGCGCACGCACAAGCTGGCACCTTGTGCCGCGCAGCCGGGCATTCCCTTTGTACGTCAATGCTGCACCGGCGAACAGTTTCTGGCTACTTTACGAAAATCTTTTTTTGCCGCGACCCGACGTGCTTGCCCGCCCACCCGCGTTTGGCTTCTCTGCAGGAGGAGACGCCGCTGTTCTTGGCAGCCCGCGAGGGCAGCTATGAGACAGCCAAGCTGCTACTGGATCACTTTGCCAGCCGCGACATCACGGACCACGTGGATCGCCTGCCAAGGGACATCGCGCAGGAGCGGCTGCACCACGACATTGTCCGCCTCCTGGACGAGTACAACGTCGTGCGCAACCCCTCGGGGCCCAACGGCCTCGTCTCCCCGCCGCAAGCCAACGGCGCCTACGCCCACGGCGCCAAGGCTGGAAAGAAAGGGGTGCGGCGGCCCGGCAACAAGTCGGGCGTGGCGCACGATGCCGCCAAGTGCAAGAAGGCTCAGAAGAAAGTGAACGGCGGCATCGCGAGCGGTGGCGGTGGCGATGGAGCGCCGCTGCTAGGATTGGACGGATCGGCGTCGCTATCTCCCGTCAACTCCGAGTCGTCGCAGTCGGATGCGACCTCCCCATCCTTGCTGACATCTCCGCACGCAGCGCATTCCCTCTACGCCTCCATGGAGGCCGTCGGCTGCGGCCCCCCTCGCGTCGGCCACCCGATGGCTTTCAGGAACGGAGCCATAGCGGTGGCGTCCGGATGGATAAACCCCATGCAGAATGTGCCTCTGTCGCAGTTCGCTCATCAAGGCCACTCGCTCGGCCTGACGTCATCGCACCCTCAGTCTAACCACAGGGCCATGATGTCACCCCTGCACCCGGCCATGATCAATAGCCAACATCACCAGATGCTGGCCTTTCAGCAGAACTTGTATTCACCGAGAAATAAACCCCTCATGGAGGCTCCACAGCATCACCCGGAGCAGGCCCGTGGCGGGGCTTTTTTTCAGTCCAAGATGCCAATGATGCAGCCACAAAGCAACCTGCAGGCCGCATCCCAACAGTCGCAACTCCTAGCATCCATTAGCCAAGGCAATATGTTTCCTTCTCTTCAACAGCAGCATCAGCAGCATCAGGGAATCGCAGTGCCCATGCAGAGTTTTGTAGGGAGCGAATTTGGAGAAAGCTTTACTGCCAATGACTACAAGCCCAACGAGATGTCCCGCTCGCAGACCAGCTGCGTGCTAACGCAGACCGTGCTGCCTCCCCAGGAGGCAAATCCCTCGGCGCAGTCGAGCCAGCTCGCCAAGCACGAGGGGGCGGCCCCCGCAGAGCAGTTCCCCACGCCGCCGTCCCAGCACAGCCGTGGCGAGGGCAGCCCCGGGCACGCGCCCCCGCCCGGCACCCCTGGCGAGCACCCCTACCTTACCCCTTCCCCCGAGACCCCTGAGCGCTGGTCCACATGCTCGCCCCGCTCGGGGGCGTCGGATTGGTCCGACGGCGTCTCCAGTCCGCCCGGCTTAGCCGCACGGGCACAGCGCCGGCCCGCCGACCCTCAGCAGCAGCTGCACAACCTGCAGGCGCTCATGTAACCCGGCCTCGCGCCCTCTTCTCTCGCCCACTTCGCTCCTTCTCTCCCAAACGGCATGTGCCGCCGGTCCCGTGACGTGTGGCTACCCCCTGCGTCGCCGTAGCAACGGCGGTGATGCGGCGGGAGATGGCGTGGCGGAGGGTCGCGGAGCCACGGGTTTGTTTATTTCGGACCGGTGGCGGTTGTGGTTTGTCGTTCACACCAAAATCCCCGCGCGCTCATTCTGCCTGCATCCTCCAAAGATGGAATATCTGCTTCCGATGCCGGCAGAATCTGACCGTCTCCCACCTTGTGAGCGAGCGTCGAGTCGGTAGCTGTGATTGCTGCTGTAGGGGGTCGCGTTGCTACCGCTGCTGCTGTTTTAAGAGCTTGCGTGGGGGCAAGGTTAAACTTGCACGTTCAGTTAAAATATTTCACCCGGGAATGTATGTACGTTGGACTTCTTTCGCATTGTACGTAGCCAATCGTAGGTGCGGGGGAAGGACAACAAAAATGGCTCAAGATGGAACATCTCGTTTGCAAGGGGGTCCCGGCTGCCGTTTTGACACGTGCATAGCGAACACGAGATTACACGGAGGCAAACATGTTACGTATTCAGTTAGTTAAAAAAAAGTTTCACTTAGTTAATTTTTGCACAAATCCTGAGGGCGATCGGACGCAGCAAGTGGTACGGCCAATCACAGCATCCCGTGCTCGTAATTTATGCGACACAATGCAGGCGTTTTGAATTTATTTCCGTCATGGTTTACGATTTTTCTGTTTAGCTGTGGTACCGGCGTAGATGTGTCTTATCAGAGCATGCACAAGCATTTCTGTTGTTGTTAATTTGAAATGGATCAAGGCGTGGGAGTGGAGAGGCCCGCCTGCTGTCTCGCGATGGGAGAGTGGTCGATCTTCTGCTGCTGCTGCTTTTGCAGCTGCTGCTGCAGCTGCACCCTGCCGCGTGCCGTATCCCGGTCGAGTTGTTTCCCACAGTACGCGGACGGTCGGTCGGTCATCGCGATGAGCACACGTGCATCAAAAAAACTCAAACTGCTCTGCAAACAAATAATTTCCAACTCGGATGAATATTGTTTTAAGCTATGATAATAATTGTGTTTTTTAATGAAGCTCGTTCATGCAAATCGCCTCTCAAGACGCTGCTGTAGAGTCTGTGGCGCGCCGTAGTATTTCGCGCAGAGATGCATTAAAAACCACAGACAAAGCGAGAAGGCAGCCGGAGCTGGTGCCACCAGTTGTCCAAGCTCTGTGGTCCTTTATTTCGATTTTCAGCCACCTCCATTTCGCCAAAACGCATTGGTTTTGGACAGGGGATGCCGGCGGCGGCACGGCCCGTGGCCCAAGTCGCGGCTCGGCTCTCGCCCAGGCGAGCCACTTCAAAGCGACGCTCAACTTGAGCCGGCTCAGAGAACGGTTCCTAGCCACGCACAGGATGTACGTGAGCCATGGCTGAGTCGCTTGTGCGTCTGTTTGATGCAATTGAGCGGCTTACGCCTGAGCTGGGCTGTGGCCAAGGTAACGGGCCCAAGTCTGCCAGGAGAAATCACGCGTGGCCACACACACACACGCGTGCGTTCGTGCGCGCGCGGGGTTTGTGCGTGGTTACATTAACACACACGCACCGGGTGTGTGCAGTGCTTCCTGGGCCTGGTCTCCAGTGCATGCTGCATCGTGTGTTGTACCGGCAGAAGGGTCACGTCTCAAAATTGTTTAACTTGAATGGATTTGTCTTAAATAGGGAATATATCTTGAAAGCAAAACAATGTCTTATGATCGGAGCTTATTTACACGTGTTTGCCTTATCAGTAAGTGTGGTTTATGCATCACAATAATGGCATTTTTACAAACATTTTGTTTCTAAGCTAGCTTATGTAACCATGTGTAAATTATGATATTGTTATATTCTACATTAAAAAAAAATGCTTGGGACAGGTATACTTGTCGCGAGTGCACGTTACATTGGTCCCGTGTTTGCAGTAGGTTGTCGGCCTGGTGTGAGCGTCAACGTCTCAGGCTGCGGGTGTAGCCTGTAGGGAGTCACCCTCCCGTGGGTTCGATTGAATCCTCCTGTGCCCTGCTCACTCACAGGTGGGACGAATGTCCCGCAACCACGCAACCCGCGTCTGGTCTGCGCGGTGCTCTTCTCGCAAACCGTGCAGTGCTATTCGTTAATCTCACGGGCTGCTAGAATGCGTGCGTTTTCTTTTCTCTCCATAACTTGTTCCCATCGTGCATCTGGTATGAACGGTACTCTTAGAAGCGCTTTTATTGGCCGGCGTCTATAGCCTACGGGAACCGTGCATGTCTTGCCTCTCCGTTGTCGCTCCGAGCAAAATACCGCGGGGAGATGGAGAACGGTGTGGCCGTAAAGAGTCGGGCTCGATGCACATTCTCGATTTAACTTGGTTTGGTACCGAGTCCCTGTGGTACCAGCGCCGCGCGCGCCCGCTTGCTTTCCCACGGTACTGTGGCATGCGTTTAATTGTGAACAGATGTGCTGCTGGTCGGCTGCCAGTCGTGCTGCAGGCGCGGGGGGAGTTCCGAGCGAGGAGCAGGAGGGAGCAACTCCGTTCGTTGCTGCTCGCAGTGTGGCCAGTCGAGCTTTCCAAGGACAATCGTGTCGCCACCAAACGTTTCTCAGTCCCCCTCCCTCAACATACACCAAATCACAATGCTGAATACCGGTACTCACTGTATATGACACTCAACAGATGCTTCAGTGTACATAAGTAATTTGTTTCATGTTTTTATATTTGGTAACTTTTTTCTTACAAAAAGAAAATAACTCCTACTTATTTTAGTATCCAGCGCTGTTGACGTGGAGCACGTGTTGGTGTTTGACGGTAGTTTGTGAATAAGAGATTATTTTACTGTTTAGACTTTTTTTTACTCTTAAAATATTTTTTTATTACTAAACCCTGTAGAAATGGTATTAAAATATGTATTTTGAATTGTAAGCACCGACGTGGTAATAAAAGTGCCTATCAGTTGGCTCCGGCTCTGTGATACTGGAGTGCGACCGTGGCGGGTTTGCTTTGGAACGTCTGGGATCCTGTCTGGGATCTTGAGACTCGTGTGGCTCTCAGCGCGCGGCTCTCAGCATGCCAGTGTCAAGCGCGCTGCCAGCGGGGGATTTCTCACACAATTAGCCGCGGGGAATTCATGGAAGTGCGATGGAATTCAATAACCACTTTTGTATTTGCATGGCTTCGTGTAAATTCCTCTGCAGCTGAAAGTGCCTTAAGTCTACATCTGAAGCATTCGAGGGGGGGATCCCTAGTGGCAGCTATCCCTGTGCAGGCACTTGGTGACTCAGCAGTGGTCTCAGTCGGGGGGGTGATAATTGATGGAATCTCAATTGATTTCCAGGAAGTGTTTGGAATTTGGTAAATATGGATCATGAAAAGTGGACTTCTCATAGTGATGTCCGTGGGGTCTTTGAAGCCCAGTGACGCGGATGGCGCGCGTTTACACGGCGAATGCGCCTGGCCGCATAAATTTAAACAATCTCCACCGCAACAGGGAGAAAGTGCCACCTGCTGGGCCATGCCACCTCCCAGTGAAATTGCTCATCTACTGCTTGGCCCATCAGGAACATTGACGCGGCAGACACACAGATGAGAGCCGTCGCACGGTTTAGAAACCCAGGCATCAATTGTTAAAGTCACCGTTCCAAAATGACCTGCAGTTGCTGATCTCTGCAAGGCGGATGGTGCCTGGGCTTGAATGATTCGCCGGCGCCTCCACATGGTTCCCCCTGCTTTGGTCCGTCTATTGAATTTGCTCTCATTTCACCGTTGAGAGTACGAGTCTCAACTGTTCCACTGGAGAAAGTCACAAGGTCGCTGGCGTCTTGTAAAAAGCGCGAGTGAGCAGCGCAATGAGGAGTGTGGCATTGAGCCACCCACCCCTTGGCACTGCGACCGTATTAGCATGCTTGGATGCAGCTGTAGCAGTGGCCCCATCAGGCGCCCAAGATTAATTGGGGCTAATGCTGACATCAATAAATAAAACCGTTGAAAAAAAGCAAGAATTTGCGTGGGTTTGATTCTCGACACGGGCACCTGTGCAGAGTTTTATGTTCTCCCCCTGTTCTACATGGGTTTCCTCCCTGAGCTAAACACACAGTGTAACTGGCCAAAACGTCCTAATGCTGAATAATTACCTGTGCAGGCTACCCAATTGGGATTGCGCACGTAAACATCGCCCCCTCACTGTGAAAAACTTGGCACGAAGTTCCTAAAAAAGTAAGACTCGTTGAGGCCGAATATAAAAAAGTAGGCAGTCTTTTTACTGTTGCCAAATGCATCCATAAGAGGTTTTTGGGTTAGATCGCGTAAATGTCGTTAAAACCCGCCACCACCCGACACAGCCATCTATAGTAAGGGTTGTCATGTAAACAGACTTGCCAATTTATCACGAGTGTAGGACTCGTACTGATGCGACAGCTTCTTGTCTTTCTCGTCTCTTTTATTCACGCATATAGTTCACACCTCCTCCTCATCATCACTCCATGCCTCTCCGTTCGCTACAATGCACAACCCGCCATCATCATCACTCCATGTCTCTCTGTTCGCTCGCTCCGCTCCGCGACTTCGCTCGCTCTCTCTCTCTCTCTCCCCCAAGGTCCGTTACTCCGCTGCTACTCTACTTTGTACTCGCTCCGTCCACCGCTACCCTATCTGTATTCTCTCTATCCACTGCTACCGTACGCTGTATTCTCTCTATCCACTGCTACCCTATTTGGATTCTCTCTGTCTACCCTTATCGTATCTAATCCTGCTCCCTGCTGCTCCGTCTCTGTCCCGGGCACCATCCACTCCAACACCAACCAAGACCCCCGTCTCTCCGTTACGCTGTGCCTTTATACCCGAACCAATCAGCCCCAATTAATTATCTCATCCCCCGCTTCGCTACTCACCCCCAGGCCCCCAGCCTCACGTGACCATGTTATCGCCGTCAGCCCGGCGCCAGTCATCAGCCACTCACCCTCCTGACCAATCACCGGCCTGCGTCCTCATTACCCCTAACACCTGTGGCGTCTCTTAACGACCTCCCCCTGAATGCCATGACAACAATAACTGTATCCTCAGTTGCCCCCACTGTACGCTGCTCGCTTGCATAGCAACAACGCGTGGCGCGTGATATTTCAAGTCCTACACGAGTACAGCACATCAGTGTGTTGGAGAGCCAAGCCACAACATTTACAAACTGAGTACGACATTTTGCCAGTAATTACAACTAGCTTCATGAGGCGATAGCCATATTTGTGGAGAAGTCTTACTGTTTCGTTCCTAAAATAGAGGCATAGATGTGTTGCTTTCGTGACTGCAGGAATCCATACGTTTTGGTTCTTTCGGTAAAGTCACATAGTTAGACATAAATAAAAAAAATACAACAAATCACGACGTTTCAATTGCAACACAAGCAATCATCAGGTGGGAAAACCACAGCAAGAATTTTTTTTGCTGAAGAGGGAGAGAGCTGCAGTGGCAAGAGGTTATAATGGTAGGAACCTTCTGGTTACACCAGCCCACAGGGGATTATTGTGTCCGTCCGTCATGCATCCTAAAATGGGAGGGGAGGGGCTGGGTGGGGAGGGAGGGGCTGGGTGGGGAGGGGGAGGGGTGGGGAGGGGCTGGTCACCCCGTGGTGCCCTTATAAAACTCAACGTTTAACCTACTTCACGCCGGCTTATGCCCGCCTTCACAGTCGGGCATATTTGCGGAATACACCACGCCGCCGTTGACCCTGGCCATTGACCGAGCAACCCAACAATACTACCAGCTCCCTCCGCAGGAATGTGTTATAGTTAAGGGGGAGGGGCAAGGGGGGTGATGGGGGGGGGGGCGCTGCGTGAGCACGAGGAGAGGGGACGTGAAGCTGGGGGGGGGGGAAGTGGGCGGTGCTGGAAGTGGGAGGCTGAGAAGGCTGGGGATGCGGGGGGAAATTAACTCGAAAAAATAGACTAGTATAGACACAACCATAAAGCAGTTACGGTTTTACCTGGTTAATAACATCCTTCCAATGATTGCTCAATTTGTATCCATCTTCTCGGTTGAAGTTATGTCTATGTATATATATCTGGATGGCTTCATGAACAAACCTTTGATAGTAGCCAGAAGGTTTGCAGAGTACCCTTGGTCTCGGAAAAAACAATATCATGCAAGCCCACAGCGTTATAACAATGGTCAGCCACGGCAGAGGTATTTGGTTCTGTCGTGTTTCAGATCTGCCTTGTGTTCGCGGACACGGTCCGAGACATGTCGTTTCGTTTCCTCAATGTAACTGTGACCGTAGGTACAACTCTGTTTGTAAACTCCAGGATATTGTATGTCAGGAATGACATCCTTCACAGATGGGATAAGATCACGGATTTTGTGTAATGTATTGAATCGGACCTGGATCTTGTATGTATTTAAGATTTTGGGAATCTTTTTGGTAAGACCTGCTATGTATGGTAACATGATGGTTTTTGATTGGCTTCTTTATTTAATTGCCCAGATACAGTGAGGGAAAAAAGTATTTGATCCCTTGCTGATTTTGTACGTTTGCCCACTGACAAAGAAATGATCAGTCTATAATTTTAATGGTAGGTTTATTTGAAGTGAGAGACAGAATAACAACAAAATCCAGTAAAACGCATGTCAAAAATGTTATAAATTGATTTGCATTTTAATGAGGGAAATAAGTATTTGACCCCTCTGCAAAACATAGTGAGGGAAAAAAGTATTTGATCCCCTGCTGATTTTGTACGTTTTCCCACTGACAAAGAAATGATCAGTCTATAATTTTAATGGTAGGATTATTTGAACATTGAGAGACAGAATAACAACAAAACTCCAGAAAAACACATCTCAAAAATGTTATGAATTGATTTGCATTTTAATGACCCCTCTGCAAAACGTGACTTAGTACTTGGTGGCAAAACCCTTCTTGGCAATCACAGAGGTCAGACGTTTATTGTAGTTGGCCGCCAGCTTTGCACACATCTCAGGAGGGATTTTGTCCCACTCCTCTTTGCAGATCTTCTCCAAGTCATTAAGGTTTCGAGGCTCACGTTTGGAAACTCGAACCTTCAGCTCCCTCCACAGATTTTCTATGGGATTAAGGTCTGGAGACTGGCTAGGCCAGTCCAGGACCTTAATGTGCTTCTTCTTGAGCCACTCCTTTGTTGCTTTGGCCGTGTGTTTTGGGTCATTGTCATGCTGGAATACCCATCCACGACCCATTTTCAATGTCCTGGCTGATGGAAGGAGGTTCTCACCCAATATTTGATGGTACATGGCCCCGTCCATCATCCATTTGATGCGGTGAAGTTGTCCTGTCCCCTTAGCAGAAAAACACCCCCAAAGCATAATGTTTCCACCTCCATGTTTGACGGTGGGGATGGTGTTCTTGGGGACAGGCAGCATTCCTCCTCCTCCAAACACGGCGAGTTGAGTTGATGCTAAAGAGCTCCATTTTGGTCTCATCTGACCACAACACTTTCACCCAGTTGTCCTCTGAATCATTCAGATGTTCATTGGCAAACTTCATACGGGCATGTATATGTGCTTTCTTGAGCAGGGGGACCTTGCGGGCACTACAGGATTTCAGTCCTTCACGGCGTAGTGTGTTACCAACTGTTTTCTTGGTGACTATGGTCTCAGCTGCCTTGAGATCATTGACAACATCCTCCCGTGTAGTTCTGGGCTGATTCCTCACCGTTCTCATGATCATTGCAACTCCACGAGTTGAGATCTTGCATGGAGCCCCAGGCCGAGGGAGATTGACAGTTCTTGTGTTTCTTCCATTTGCGAATAATCACACCAACTGTTGTCACCTTCTCACTAAGCTGCTTGGCGATGGTCTTGAAGCCCATTCCAGCTTTGTGTAGGTCTACAATCTTGTCCCTGACATCCTTGGAGAGCTCTTTGGTCTTGGCCATGGTGGAGAGTTTGGAATCTGATTGATTGATTGCTTCTGTGAACAGGTGTCTTTTAAACAGGT